TATATAACGAAAAAAATTCCAATTAATAACTTTGGTTTTATCATGAGTATATACATTCTAATTCCTGCCTGGTGAGTTAATGTAAGTAAATAAACATACAAATAAAAGGTTTCCTGTTAAGATAAATTCAAAGATGCAACAACATGAAAAATTAATAAGAATTCTTAAAAAAAAAATTCAAAAAATTCAAACTGACCCCTAAACTGAGAAATGAAATTTTACCAATAATAAATATTATGTAGCATGAAGAAAATCTTTATTCATTCCTATATGTAATATCCTTCCTCAGTATTTAACTTGCACTTCCCTGCCAATTCAAAGCGGGAGATCTAAAAATTGCACGAAAAGAGTATCAATTATCAACAAAACGTTTTATTTGAAGGAGATTTATTTTAAGCTCACAAATAAATAAAATTAGTAGGTGAATTTTTAGATTCGTTACTGGTGTGACACACTATAAAATTATAGAAAAAAATATTGTTGACCTCTAGTCTATGACTTGTTGTATGAGTGCTAGGAAAAAATGATCTTCTTCTTGAAAAAAAGTGTACATAAAAAAAAAAATAAAATAAATGAATTTCGTCTGCTAGTACGTTCAGTGCCCTCCAAATCTAAGTAGACGTTTTTGGAATCTAATGTGTACTTGAAATAATTCACCTTCAAAGTACTTGGTGATGAATTGAGTAAAATGACCAGTTAATTTTTTTTTGTGTGTTTCGCTAAACAACATTTATTTAATCTTAATCATTATTTTATAATTTATTACCAAAAAAAAAAAGATATTACATTTTGGATTTATTTCTTATGAAAATCAGTTGATAGTGTCAACGTTTTAAGACTTAAGATATAAGATCAATTCCATAGTTGTGAATATCATCAAGTCCTAATGAAGAGAACAATTTCTGTAATATCGAGTCTTCAAGTCTGTAAGTCGAAAATTTCACTTTCCAAAGTGAAGGCTGGGATTGAATGGTTTTTAACAAACTTTTAATTAAATTATCTAATTTTTGTTAAGAAAACAATCCTTGTCCTTAAAAAGTTCGAATATTCCGTACTGCCTTGTATTTTCTCTTTTTTATATTGGAATATACGTAATATTTAAATTAAGTAAAATATACAAATGTCTACCTTATTCCAAGAATATTATTTAATTAAACTATTAAACTATTATTTAAAGAATATCAAAAATAATAATGATATTGGAAAAACGTTGAATAGGGGAGACTAGATACGGAGGAGACAGTCGTCATATTATAGTTATAGTTTAACTATAAGAAATAGCCGATATGTTTATTGAGAACATAAACATGTTATGCCCGTCTGAAGTATTTGAAAGTATTGCTATCGCATCGTGCGATATTAATGCTGGTGGAAGACTAGCTTTATTCTATTTCTTTGAATAATTGTTGTTATAGATGTAGCGATATATGTGTTTCCTTGTTATATGTTGAACATTAGTTGCAGTATAGGACTTCTGTAGGAGTCTTAGGCCGACGAAAGAAAAAAAATAAGAACATTAGTTGTTAATTAGCAGTGATTATCGTACGTAGTTAATTTGATATTGTCGTGACGATTGTTTTTTTGTTACATTTGTGACATATTTTGAGGGTAAGGGACTGACTTCAATTTTTTTTTGTTGCTTTTAGATACTTAGAAAACGTTTTTAAACATAAAAATGTTTATGCTTTGTTAGTTATAAGCTATAATTGTTCTTTAATGTTATATAATCCAATAAAAGCGAATTTATACTACTTTGGTGTATTTTTGAGCCTTGCAGTGTCGCTTCCGTCGTTTTCTATCGTCCTGGAATTGGTTGTGATATTTTATTTTATTTTTTTAAAATTTGCTTCTATGAGATAATGTTAGTACTTACGGACAAAATCTTAGTATTGATACTTATTCAAGTGTACGCTTTACTATAAAAAACACGCTTCTTTCTAATTGGCATTCAAATAAAATTGAGGAGAATTAAATGAAAATTCTCACAACCGTACCCATTCTCCCCTAATATTTAGTAATTAATTTTTCATTTACTACAAGGCTCCTTGTAATTATTTTTTATCTACATTTCTTTTAAAAGAAAGTTTAAAAAATAAATGATAAAAATTTACGTGAAAATATGATTTACTTAACCTTTTTTTATTTTATTTGTTTACTTATCGTCCTATTATTTATTTATAGTCCTAATAACTATTAGCCTTGAGTATTGTACGTTATATAATTTATTGCTGAAAAAAATATAAATGAGGTTTGGAAACTACAGAATTAAGTTCAGATTATTCTTAATTTAAATTGCGAAGGTATTTTAATAGCAACTATCCGAAGATACTCATCATTTATTATTATACATTATTGAATCATATCAATTATTAATATTTTTAAATTTTGTTTTTAAACCCTGCGCCGTTACGTTAATACTCCTTGCACAACCCTTATCTAGCTCCACCCATCCCTACATTCCTCCTCAAAGGTTGTAACGGCAGTGGCCCCAAGATGTTTTGTAAATATACATAAATTGGAGTTCCAGCAATGGCCAGATTCTTTGCTCACGCCATGTAGGTCGGTTGTGCTCAGCCTCTATAGGTCACTAATTCCAATTAAGAGGCTGAGAAACAGACGCTGAGTTCTCCTAGAATTTTGCTTTACCTTTCACATACTGGAGAAAGTTCGGCTTGCAGTAATGATCGTAAATATTGTACATAAGTGGGCCTGTATTTACGTTCTTATTTTGATTAGTTTAAGTTTCTTTTTGTTTGTGTTGCAAGAAATATGATATCGATCACTATATAATAACCTATATTAATAACCTTATTCAGGTAGAGCAAAGGAAAAATTATGTAACGTAAATTTTGTTTGATATTGTTATTTTTTCTCAGGTGCAACTAATATTTATATCTCTAATATTTTTCGATGTAGTATCATTACATAGATATTAAAATCAGCGATCCTCTCAATGTCAACTCCTCTTGGTACAAAAAAAGTTTAAAAACATCAAAATGAAACTATCATAATTATATATTAAATATAGTAACACTAAGCACAAAATTATTTGGTTTTACCGAAAGAAAATTCAACAAAACACTTAATGATATATTTTTCTGAAATGGTACTTTTTGACATTTTGCAATCAAGCTTATCAATATTCTATATGTAATATAGAATATTGAATCGATCAATAATCGTATGTGTCTATAAATATATATTGCAATTGTTATAACTAGTGTGCATTTCTTTATTTAGAATAAAAATATATTAAGAAACAATTAATTATTGGTTTAGTATATTTGTTCTTTTCTATATTGCTCTAGGCATATCTTTTCATATATATGAACATAACGAACATATAGCCCGTGGTACAGACCCCTTATTATCAATTTATCAACACCCGCCTAAAACGTCGTAACCTTCATTTTATCGTAACCTTAACATTTTATGTCAACCAAAAATTCTCAGAAATGGTGCGTTTACTAATTAAATAAATTAATATAATTAGTTACTAAATACTCATTTGCTTTCCACTTGAATTGTAAAATAATTTGACAAAAAAAAAAAGAAAGGAAAAAAGGTGGCCTACAAAAATATTTGGTGGTATGGCCTTTATAGATAAATAGATAGGATAGATATTTTGAAAAATAAATAAGACTTTTTTTTAAAAAAAATGAAATCTGAGTTGTACTATAAGGAAATACAAAAAATGCCTTATCCAAAATAAGGGATCTTGACGTTACTATAAAATCACAATGCAAAAAGTTTTAATGTAATTTTATGCAAGATTGAAAAACATGAGGAACCAGAGTGTGTTAAAAACAAGTGTTACAAAAAAAAATAATAATAATAATAAATTGCCTTAATACGATTTATGTGGAATTTAAGAAAGGAGATGGTCCGGGGTGGCGGTTATGATTAGCTTTCCACTTGAATTGTAAAATAATTTGACAAAAAAAAAAAAGAAAGGAAAACAAGTGGCCTAAAAAAATATTTGTTACTAGTGATGCGGCTGGAAAAGTGCTGGGATCTTCCGGAGTCTTGCTTTGCCTTCCACGTGTGGGGGAAAAAGTCTGGCTCGGAGATTCTTGGGCGAATGTATATATTGTATATAGGTATGATTGTGTTTAGAAGTTTTTATTTTATTTTATTGGTTTATTTTATTTTTATTTAACTTTTTCACCAGTATTATTTATTTACTTCTTATATTTATATTTATTTCTTTATTATTTGTATATATTGTATGAATGAGAACTTTTAGCCCTAATGCTTATAGCCCTCCAGCAGTGGTTGATTGTATTATTATTCAATAAACAGATTAAAAAAAAAAAAAAATATTTGGTGGTATGGCCTTTATAGATATATAGATAGGATAGATATTTGACATGTCGGGTGTTGTGTGGAGGTTACGCTATATGACCTAATATTTTTGTAGGCCACCTTTATTCTCGAATTTGTGGCAGAGTCAAGAGGGAAGCTAGTGGGTGTTCATGAGTTTTAAATACCTAATTAAGTTTGCCAGTGTCCAGATTGAAATCGTCCCCATTCCGAGAATTTTCCTGAATGGAAAAGTTTTTTGTTACGATGAATAAAGCTATTCATTAAGTTTTGGGCGGATGCTAATTAGTTGATAAAAAGAATTACCACGGAATAATATTTTATTTTTGACTTAATTTTATTTTACAGTTGTGTATTGATTATTAATTAGCTTGAAGACTATTGTTAAAATCCCAACCATGGTTTTATTTTATCATATTTTATTTATTTATTTTTTAAAATAAAAATAACATTTGAGGCATCGACTGGATTTATCAATAATTGAAGTATCATTCGATTTCTTTAAAAAAATCATTAAGACATAATTGTTTTTTGTATTTACAGGATTAATCGACTTCACACTATTAGATCATAAATAAATGAAGGATCTTTTGTAGTTTTGAGTATTGAAAATTATTATTATTTACTTTCTGAAACATGCTTAAGTGATAAAAAAGTGTATGATATTTAATACTTACATAGTAAATATTCATGTTGAATATCAAAATTCCCAATGATGACTGATGCTTCGCCTGGATTTGCATGTGTTTATATACAGCGCTCCTGTCGTGCATCTTCTCATATCCCGGCAAACGTTTCAAGGAAAATGCATATAAAATTGTTTTCTTTTTTTTGTTTTCTTTTTTTTTGCTGTTGTTTTTCTCCTAATTTTATTCTAGATGGACAGATTGTTAAAAGAAATACTTTTTAAATTAATACATTGGTTTTTACAAAGTTAACAACAAAATCGACCCCAATCAACTGCGCAGTTTTTCTAGAAATGTAAAAAAAAGTTCTGTGAGTCAGCAGCAGGTATAATTGTAGGGAGTATATTCTTCAGTAATTAGTGTTTATACAACAGACATGAAAGGTCGTTTTTTTTTCTTCGTTTTTTTCTTTTCTAGTGTATCCTACGTTAAACTCAACAACTTGACTCGGAATAACCAAAATATCTTCATAAATGTATCTCAATTATTAATAGTCCATGGTATAGGCCCCTTTTTATCGAATTATTAACATCCGCCTGAAACTTCATAAATAGCTTCATCTCATCGTAACCTAACAGCTATTTTATTTACGAAAACTCTTGGAATTGAGACGTTTTCAATTTGGAGGGGGAGGGGCAAACTTTGTCTATTTAATTAGGTACTAAAACCCGTAAATACCCGTTTACTTTCTACTTTGATCGTAAGATAATTTGATCATAAAATCGAGAAAAAAAGTGGCCTACAAAAATATTGAGCCGTTTGTCCATTATAAACTCGTTATTTTGAAAACGTGGGGGTGTAGGTCATGACAAACGGCTCAATATTTTTGAAGGCCACCATTTTCTCTAGATTTCGTTATCAAATTATCTTACTATCCAAGTAAAAAGCAAATGGGTAGCCCCAATTCCAAGGGCTTTCGTAAATAAAATAGTTGTAGGTTACGATGAAATGAAACTTTTTTCGAAGTTTCAGGCGGATGTTAATAATTCGATAAAGAGGGGTCTGTACCACGGACTATAACATTTATTGTTACTAGCCTCTGGGTAAATCAATTTACATTTTTTAAAAATATTTTTAATATTGATTTAAGATCCAAAATATGATTTGTATATAGGATGACTTTTATTTTCTTACAGTATTCTTGACTTATGCATAATATAATAATGTCCACTAACTTTTAGTAATAGTTATGCCGTTGTGAGAGTAGTACTGAGATCTCCAGGAGTCCTGCTTTTCCATCTAAAGTTCAAGTGATGAATATGTCTGCGGTTCAATTAAAATTTAATAATCCTAAAATATATTCTATTTTTTCTTTTATATATTTATATTTAGTTATTATATTAACTTTCTATTAATTAATATATTGATATATATTTTCTTCTTATATTTGAAATAGCTTTAATTAGAACAACCAAATATTAATTTATTGTTTATATATAAACAATAAATATAAAAATATAAAACAATTTATATAAATCGCTCAAATTGCTTAAAGAGATGAAAAAATAAATAAATAACAACAATGGTAGAAAATCTATAATGAATGAAATATTGTAGCTTAATAACGCCTACTAAAGATATTAAAAAAGTATTAAAATTTATTATTTAAAATGCCTATTTCTTAGAAATTGAGAAAAACGAAAGACATCGCTCAACATTAAAACATAAATAAAATCAACAATTAATAATGAATGAAACATATAAAACAAAATGTAATACTTCACACTTCGTAGTACCAATACTTAATAGGCATTTTAGAAAATATTTTTTTTATGAACTCATTAGAGGGCCCACTTTTCTTATTGACATTTTAAATTAGTTTTGATTTGTTTGTTTATAAACTGAAAAAAAAAATAAAATAATAATAAACAATGATCAGATAAAGTATCAATTTTTCGAATATCACTACTACAGAGGTTTTAAAAAATCTTGACTCATGTGTTATTTAACAAAAGACAACATGGACTTGAATCCACTCCCTTTATTTGGTTTTAATTAATTTCATATGTTGATTTTGAGGCACGAATATCCTTGAAGAGTGAAGTGGAATGACCGATATTCAGGCAGAGGATACAGTAAAACGTTATTTAATATGTGTAGTCCAGGTTTTAAATTTTATTTATAATTAATATTATTTAAAAAAAGATTGATAGATCTCACTGTCAACATTAACCAAGTAAAGTATTTATCTTTAGATAGAACGAAAATAAATTAATGAATCCAATTACATAAATTTGGTATTTTAAGAATAAAATAGCCATGCTATTTAGCATAATCTCTCTTGATTATCCAATCCGTTATGCTTGAGGGCTTTCAGTAAAGATGGTATTATTTTAATCAGTTGTCATATATCCAAGCAGGGCCGGAACTAGTGGGGGGGGGGGAGAGAAGAAGTGGTAAAGTGGGAATCTGCTCCGGTGAAAAAAATTTGGGAGAGCAAATGGCTACGAACATGATAAAAAAGAATTATTTTTGGGTGCCTATATCGTATCAATCCAGGGTCAAAGACATTAAATTTAATCTCAAAAACAAAACAAGGAGTAACTACCATACTGCAATATTTAATAGGTGGCGGCGTTTTGTTTTTTGTTTTAAAACTTCATCAAGGCTAAGGAAAAACAAATTAAGAATATTAAAATAAGAAGATATATAGAGAGAATAAGGATAATATAGATAGCATGCAGAAAGAAATATTAGTAAGACATTATTCATAAAAAAAAAAAATAATATACCGGAAATTAGATTATAGATATTCAATATCGTAATGTCAAAGTTTGAAAATAGGAGATAGAATATAATATAAAAGAAAACATAACGACAAGTTTTCAACGGCAACAAAAGGAAGGATTAAAACCAGAAACATAAAAAGTAAATAGAATAATAACTAATTGGAGATAAAAAAAAAAGAGAAAAAAAGGAAAAGAAAAGAAAAGAGCTTTAGAAAAATAGAAATGAAGAAAGTTACTTGATTCTTTTCCTATTAGCTGAATAATTGTGAATTTTATTTTTTATCAACCATCAGACTAGATGTACAACTAATAATGTACAAACGAACTACTTACCACAGGTTGGTGTACTGAGAATAAGGGAGCTTTCAGGATGAAACTTCCCTCCAAAATGGAGAATATATGTTTGTTTTTTTTTCATTGGTTCATATTTGCATATGTGAGTAATCTCAACAAAATACTTGAATAATCACAATAGTTTCTCTTTTTAAATTATCATGCACATAGAGCTACTAAATGTTAGAGCCTGTAAAGAAAAAAAAAAATCTTTAAAAGCGTTTTTATTTTATATATTTATTTATTTTTTTTTGCGTTCAAGGACTACATAAGCATCATTTTATATAAGTATTTTGTTGTTTTCCTTTTTCATCCTTGGATACTAAAAAAAAAAAAGGCTACCAAATTAAATTCTGGATCCGCCACTGCTACTTACACGAAATAAAGGAAGAAAAAAACCCCACTAAAATGAATGAAATTATGAATAACAAAGTCTAGAAGATTTCTTATATACATTTTATAAAAATGAAATGTATTTATAAAATTCTATTATTAGAAAAATATTATTTTCAAAATTAGGCTAGATTTTCTTAAACACTTTTGTAGAAATTCGTGTTAGGCAGACATTTCGTTCATATTGTACATTCAGGCTGTAATTCGTTCAGGTAGTAACTGCCCGATTTATAGTCAGGAATTTTACAGCTCAAGTTAAAATTCATCGAACGTTTCCATAAAATATTTGATTGGTCAAGTAAACCATGAATTCATCGATATGATAGTAACAATAATATCGTGAAATAAAAATAAAATTGATTTATAAATTAACGTATTAATGTTAGAAATTCCATTCGGTATGTTTACTGTTTGTTGGTTCGTTTACTGTAATTTGGTTAAGTATTATTACTTTCTTTTTTTTTTTTTAATTTCCTGATTCAGTTTTACCTTTAACAACAAAGGACTCATGTTGAAAATATTAGTTGATTGTTGCTGACTTGGTATGGCTATGTCTGTCTCAGGGGTCAGTGCTACCAACAAGGCCATTACTCCGAAAACATAGTAATCAAAATATATGTTATGTTTTATCATACAATATTTATAATGGTCAATAAGAGGTTAAAAGAAAGTATTAATAAAATATAAAACAGCCCTACAAACATTTTTTGCGTGTATCTTCGACGGAAACTGTTTCTCTTGCTAATTTTGGTTTGAAAAACTCTAAATTAAGTTATTTGAAGTTACAAGATCATTTTTTAGGCTTTCAAAGGTCATGCAAAGTAGCAGTTGTCAGTCTGATAGTAGGCTCTCTCCATACCTTGGGAACAACCCACAAAACGCATTGAACGACCTATCTAGTTCAACCATTCTCTCAAGGTTAAGCTACATATGATGAAGCAGATGTGCGTGGCCCACGGCTTGTGGTATGCTGTCTTGATCATCAGAATAATAAGGACAATATAGATAGGACGTTTTTGACTTGCAATGGTTCCTTCTCCATAAATTTAATAAAAGTTGTCAGGAGCATTCAAACACTTCTTGGAGATTGGAAATCCACCAAAACTACTAGGTTATAACAAAAAATCCGTTAAAGGAATGCCTGAAGCAAGAAAAATCACTTCAAGAGTTACATGAAATTTAAACACTGCGTGCAACCGTCAGCGAAATGATTCTGTGATTCACAGATAGTCGTTTTTCGCGATTCTGACATAAATCAACACAGGATCAGGAAATGTCTCCACATTACGCACAAAGTAACTATATGTTTGAAACTTGAGCTAACTAGAAACTACATTTTTATGTGTAAATTCTAATTTCTCACACCAAAAAACATGGAATGAGACTGTTTTCAATTGACATACAATATCAATTTAGTGCATTGTAATTGAAAATATTCAGGTATAAACTTAAGATGTATACTGCTCAAAAATGGATAGGGATATTTCTATTTGGTTCATTTTAATTAAAATGCCACATTTTTAATTTATTTTTTTTGTTAGGAAATGTAAACTTCAAGCATTCTTTGTTTTTAATAAATTATTAACTCAGTCAACATGAAGAACACTCATTGCTTAATTTAAATTTAAAAAAATGTATTATAAGTAATAATTTTATTTATTTTTCCTAAACTGGAATTTATTGCTACTTCTCTCTTCTGATTTATTCTATTTTATTTTACCT